ATCTCTAAAACAATATAGTTTTTTTCAATTATCAATTAAGCTAGTTTAATTTAATGATACAATAAATAATTTTTAATAAGACCTAATACAAATGAATTTATTATTCCTATACAACTGTTAACCGTATCTTTCATAAATAAAATTAATTATTTCAATTTTTATTAATATCTTGTTTATTGATTAGAATTTTCTTTAATAATAATTTCATCTTACATCTAATTCTAAAATTGAATTTAATTAAACTTATAATGCATAGATATCAAAAAAATTGAAATCGTCAAATTAAATTTGAGTGTAATCATGTTTTTATATATATATATATATATATATATATATATATATATATATATATATATATATATATATATATATATATATATATATATATATATATATATATATATATATATATATATATATATATATATATATATATATATATATATATATATATATATATATATATATATATATATATATATATATATATATATATATATATATATATATATATATTACACTGAAAACATAAATAATCGACTGTTTTAAAAATATTACATGAAAATAATATATTTTATTTATTTAAGATTTTTAACAGGTGTTCCAAGACATTGTTTCTCATTATATATATATATATATATATATTTATATATATATATATATATATATATATATATATATATATATATATATTTATATATATATATATATATATATATATATATATATATATATATATATATATATATATATATATATATATATATATATATATATATATATATATATATATATATATATATATATATATATATATATATATATATAATCAATATTTTAAATTCTCATTTTAATATTTTGTTTAAATCAATTTGTTTTATATCAAATCTTCCGTGTATAAAATATGTCATAGAATTTCTTGAATAGTCTCCATTGCCATTGCTTTTACTTTTGAATATATCTATGTAATTTGTTTCACTTTACTAAATTCATTTTCAAATGGATTCAGGAGTCCAAACAATAAATATGAAAATAACTAGTCGTGCTAATATAAATTGTTATACATTTATATTTATATATTTATAAATTTTTATTTATATTTAATGTACTAGTATTAAATTATTAATATACATAATAAAATAAATTTTTCTGACATGGGGACCAAAGAAGTAGAAGACCATTTGTTTTAGTGGCATTATTTGGGTATGTGTCTTACTCACCATAGAGCAGTAGTTTGGATATAAGTTGGCCTTATTTGATACCAGCAATGCATATCACAAGACTAATTCTGTGTGCGCTCCTGAATTTAGCAAAAGGACATACCGAAAAACTAAATGTACATACATTAACTAGTATCCACAAACTTGACTTGATGGAACAACATAATACCACCTAAAAGAAATAAATCAACTTTTAGAGATAAAAGAGATGGAAACAAGTCATACTTCTGACACCAGAATAGAACATTGAAACAAGGATTTTGTGAAATTTTTATTTTATTTATAAATAATTAATTTATTAGAATTTTTAAAACATGAATCGAGTTTTAGAAGTATTAAGAATCTAAGTAAATAATAAAATTTGAATATTTAATATAAGAATGATTTTAGCGTTTGATCAAATATATCTAAGATGTGCATGAATTATAAACCAAATCAAACCATATATATGATTTGGTTTGGATCTTAAAATTATTTATATAAAACCGGTTTACAAGTGGATTGGTTTGGTTTCAAACCGGTTAAAAAAAAACAGTTTTTTTAAAAATCAGTTTTAAACCGGTTTCTCTCAAAACCAGTTTTTTATTTTCTTTAAATAAATCAGTTTTAAAACCAATTTTAAAAAAAAAAATCAATTTTATTGCGAACTATCAAATAATTGATAAACCACATGAAAATTATTCTATTTTAAATTTATTGCAAATTATCTACCTTAAACTTGTTCTATTTTAAACCAAATCAGTTTTATTGCAAATTATGAGTGTTGATCTTGATTTTCCCAAACTATTCTACTTTTGTTTTTGAAACTTATTGAAAAATGGTTACCAAATCTCAATCCGGTTTAAAACAAATGGTTACCAGTTTTTTTTTTTAATTTGATAAATGGATCACCAAATTTAAAATATAAATTTGGACTGGATTTTAAATTTTGAACTAATTTAGATAGGAATTTGGTTTATGGTTATTGGTTATTTTGCACACCCTTAAATATATATATATATATATATATATATATATATATATATATATATATATATATATATATATATATATATATATATATATATATATATATATATATATATATATATATATATATATATATATATATATATATAAAAGTTTTATTTATTACATATAAATTACCTTAATTGTTATTTATGACCATGAAACAAAAAAAAGAAAAAGAGTTTGAAAAATAGATTAACCATGGTTTTAAAAAGTGGACACCGGTTTTTTATGGTTTTAGTAAAATGAATTTGGATTAGTTTTAAAACCAAATAATATGGACTTTTGAAATCGGTGCACCATATTTTTAAATTTGGTTCTTGTGAACCGGTTTTTTTGCACACCCCTAAATATATCTTTATGAAAATAATTTTTAAGATGAGAGATGTCGTTCTATTTTAAATTAATATAAGATTTGAGATTTTCTCAATACAAATCTTCTCCACTCCAACCAATATAAGTAATTTGGATTATTTGTAATACAATATCTCATGTCAAACACTTTATTGAGTTTGATTCATATACATATTAGAATTTGATCTAACTCATATTTATAAATAAATTTTATAAAAACGAGTTAGGTCAAAATTAAATATAACATAACTATTTTATAAATAGAGATGTTTATTATAATATTTTAATAATAATAATATAGATCTTACTAACAACTTAACAAGTGTCCTAGAAAGTCTCTTTAAAAATTTTATCCCTTATAAAAAAGTTAATAATTTTAATTTTTAAAACATTAAATACATACATTTAAAAAAAACTTTAAGGTCAAAAGAGTGTCGTTAAAACACTCGTTATTATTATTTTAATAAATATAATAATAATAATAATAATAATAATAATAATAATATATTTTAATAGTAAAAAAATTTGATCCGTTAGACATATCAATTTAATCCGTATTTCTTTTGTAGATGAACAAAAGTTTAAATTTCACATTATCTAATATATTTACATAAGAGTGGCAAAACAAGTCTAACCTATTAACAATGCTCGTTTTATCCGCACTTTTGTTTGGGGTGGGCCAAAAGCTTAGGTCTTCACTCTCAAATGTGTCAGTTTTACCTTGTCAGTATTTTTCGCGAGTGTTTGTAAGGACGAGTATTTATATAACTTTTGTATTTTTAATTTTAAAAGATGCAGTGTCTACGAGCTTTCCCTGTTTCACCCTGATTTTTTTTAGAGAGGAACTAAGTTTTAAGCCCGTATTTTTAACTATGACCACCCCGTTTTGTCCTGTTTTTTTCGGACTTTTGCAGTGAAAGTTGAAACGGAGCGGACCCTACCATATTTTTTTTCGAATTTTTTCAGAACTTTTGTGTGAAACAAATTTAAACAAAACGAAGATGCTATTTACCCTTCCAAATTCAATACGGTAAAACTGATTCTTAAAATTATACTAATTTTTTAAGTTTTAAAATAAAAAAATAATATTTTAAAAACATAATTTGTGTACACAAGTTATGATGTCCATTAATTAATTATGAAAACGCATAGACACAAAGAGGGAAACTGAAAAGAAAGGAGACTTGCAATAAAATATCCAAAACAAAAAACACAAGGGCGTCCAAGTTCTCTTCATGTAAGAAAGTGGGTCCCACCCTCTGTCTTTCTCACTTTCTCTCTCCTCTTTCCTCTCTTTCTAAATACAACTCACCCTTTTCTCCTCTCTCCCACGAAACAACGGCGCTCTCTCTCTCTCTCCCCCTCTCCCTCTCTCTCTACGTGGTTTTTTTTCTTTCTCCTTTTGCCATTGAAAAAAAACACAAACGCTAATTCCTCAAACCTTAAAGATTCTCTCTGTTCAAAAACCACACCAACACTCCATTTTCCCTTCACCTCACTCTGATTTTTCATCATCATTGTTTTGTTTCTTTCCTTCGAAAATCAACCTCATGGAGCTATTTCCAACAAAGGGTCGCACCCGGTTTCGTGCCGCGGAATCTTTTCAACAGTAAAAATGCTTTCTTTTTTAATTAATCTATTGCGATTTAGTGCCTCTTCTACTTCTTCTTTTCCAATGACCACAAGGTTGGTGCACTCTATTCATCCTTGTTGATTATAAAGTAATGGACTTTTGTATTGGGGTGTTTTGATTTGATGCTGAAGAAACCAGAGGAGATTTTGTTAATGTGGTGTTCATAATGCATTTTGTACCAACCTTTGTTAAGATCTGATGAAGCTGGAATATCTTGTTGGCTTTAATTTTTCAGGTACTGTTTATTTTTGGTCTGCATTACTGGATTTTGTTTTATTGTTTAATTTTTGTTTAGTGGGGGATTAAGGGATTATTAAACTTAGAGATTGTTGGACTTTGGTTTTTTTAATATTGTTTTTTTGGATTTGCTTTCCCTCAGGTTTAGTATATCTTGGATTTTCCTTTTTTTATTCTATCTTGTGTTTGTTGATGGTGGTTATATCCTCTGCATCGGTTGGTACTGTCTTATTCATTGATTTGTTCCACTCTATATCCTAGGGCTATGTTGACTCAATCAAGGTTAACTTAATTTATAAGATTGGAATAGTTTAGGTCATTTAATTTGTGGAAAAGTTTTAGATTTTTGATTTCATATTGAATTTTTGGATCTTACTTTTTTGATTTTGTTTTTGAACAGTTGACAGGGCAAGACTGGCAGAAATTGATTAGGACTTGTTGTTTTTTGTATAACATCGTTGTTATTCTGGGGTATGGCTATGACCTAATAGTTTATTTATAGCCTTTATATGGATTGAAGAATCGGGCATCAGCAGCATATTGGATCAATGGTTAAAGCAATAGTATCTGTGCTGTTGATTTCCTCTATCGTCTTGTGTGTATCTGCGACGGATAATGGGTTTCCGAGATGTAATTGCGACGACGAAGCGAGTTTGTGGACTATTGAGAGCATTTTGGAGTGTCAAAGAGTTGGTGATTTCTTGATTGCTGTGGCCTACTTCTCAATTCCTATTGAGTTGCTTTATTTTGTCAGTTGCTCGAACGTCCCTTTCAAATGGGTCCTTGTTCAGTTCATTGCCTTCATTGTACTATGCGGATTGACACATTTGTTGAATGGTTGGACTTATGGTCCTCACACTTTTCAGCTTATGGTGGCGCTTACTATCTTTAAGATTCTCACTGCTTTGGTGTCTTGTGCTACCGCGATAACGCTTGTCACTTTGATTCCTTTGCTTCTTAAAGTGAAGGTTAGAGAATTCATGCTCAAGAAAAAGACGTGGGATCTTGGACGGGAGGTTGGTCTTATTATGAAGCAAAAGGAGGCGGCGGTGCATGTAAGAATGCTTACTCAAGAGATTCGTAAGTCGCTCGATAGACATACGATTCTGTATACCACTTTGGTGGAGCTTTCTAAAACGCTAGGCTTGCAAAATTGTGCTGTGTGGATGCCCAATGAAGAAAAGACGGTGATGAATCTCACTCATGAATTGAACGGAAGGAATTTAAATATTTCTATACCGATTACTGATCTAGATGTTGTGAAAATTAAGGGAAGCAGTGTAGTGAATATACTTAGCTCCGATTCAGCGCTTGCTGTTTCCAGTTGTGTGGTTTCTGGTGATGCAGGACCGGTTGCTGCAATCCGAATGCCGATGTTACGGGTTTGTAATTTCAAAGGAGGAACACCTGAGCTAACTCAGGCGTGTTATGCAATATTGGTCTTGATTCTTCCCGCCGGAGAGCCTAGATCTTGGAGCAATCAGGAGCTGGAGATAATTAAGGTGGTTGCTGATCAAGTTGCTGTAGCTCTATCCCATGCTGCAATTCTTGAAGAATCTCAACTTATGAGAGAGAAGTTGGAGGAACGCAATCGAGCTTTGCAACAGGCGAGAAGGAATGCTATGATGGCAAGCCAAGCAAGAAACTCGTTTCAGAAAGTCATGAGCGATGGTATGAGGAGGCCTATGCACTCAATTTTGGGATTGCTTTCAATGGTACAAGACGATAATTTAAAGAATGAACAGAAACTTATTGTGGATGCAATGCTAAGAACGAGCAATGTGCTATCAAACTTGATAAACGATGCCATGGACAGCTCAGCAAAAGATGATGGAAGATTTCCGTTGGAGATAAGGTCATTTGGGTTACATTCCATGATAAAAGAAGCAGCTTGCCTCACCAAATGCATGTGTGTTTATAAGGGCTTGGGTTTTATTGTTGAGGTTGATAAGTCTTTACCGAATAATGTTATGGGTGATGAGAGGAGAGTTTTTCAGGTGATTTTGCATATGGTTGGGAATCTACTTGATTGCAACCATGGAGAAGGAGGGATCCTTGTATTCCGGGTTTCGGCGGATGCTGGAAGTCAAGGGAGGAATGAGAAGGGGTGGACAACTTGGAGACCAAGCTCATCTAGCGGTGATGTAAATATTAGATTTGAGATAGGGATCACCACCGGTAGTGATACTGAAGTTGGGAGCTCTTCCTCGGGACCCGGCGGTAGGACATATACCAGTGATAGGTATGAAGGCAGATTGAGCTTTAGTATTTGCAAGAGGATAGTCCAGGTGAGTTACACAGTTTGTTATATGCATTAATTCACATCTTGTTTCTTGAGTCATGTGCATCTCTTCAGTATTAAAGGATAAATGTTTGCACACACTTTTCACTCTTGTGCATAAATAACCGAATTTGGTTCTTTTGATTGGAATTTTCATTCTTTCATACTTGCGTGGTGCCTTCCTTGAATACTGTGGAGTATGTTTCAAAATCTGTAAGTTTTCATGGAAGAGATGTGTTTTACCAACCTATGACCCGATTTATAATCCCATTTTCCCATTACCATATACATAAGAGCAAATCCCGTTGATTTGGAATGTTGTAGTTGTAGGTTCGTGTTAAGCGTGTTCTTGCTTTGATTTGATAATTTAGTTTCTGTTTACTATGTTTATTGCAGTTGATGCAAGGGAACTTATGGTTGGTACCATACACTCATGGCATTCCTCAAAGCATGACACTTCTTCTACGGTTTCAACTCCGACCCTCCATTGCAATAGCCATCTCCGAACCTGGAGAATCATCAGAACGCACATATTCCAATTCAATGCTGAGAGGTCTGCAAGTTCTATTAGTTGACAACGATGATGTAAATAGAGCAGTCACACAAAAACTGCTTCAGAAACTCGGCTGTTCCGTCACGTCCGCATCTTCAGGATTCGAATGCCTCACTCTCATCGGACCCGTCGGATCTTCCATCCAAGTCATTCTCTTGGATCTCCAAACACCTGACATAGACGGCTTCGAAGTTGCCGCAAGGATCCGGAAGTTCAAAAGTGGAAACAGGCCTATGATTATCGCGTTAACAGCAAGCGCAGAAGAAGATTTGTGGGAAAGGTGCATGCAGATTGGCGTCAACGGAGTAATCCGAAAACCGGTTTTGTTGCAAGGAATTGCTAGTGAACTCAGAAGAATTCTGATGCAGGGAAATATATAATAGTGTCATGTCAAAAATGAATGGTGCAAGTTAAAAAAAAAACATTACAACATCTAGTAATTAATTTAAACTTATATTTCATGTCACATTCTTGTTCTTGTTAGAAATTATAGAACACATTACTCTTTCGCGCTACAATTTTCCAGAGACATCATCATACATAAGAAGAACAAAAAAATGTTACACAGATTAGTTTCTTTCTTTCAATATGTTCATGTTGGTTTTTTGCTGCCATATTAAGATAATGATAATACTGCATCCATATATATATAATCAGAATAATGGAAAAGAATAATCGTTTGTTGCTTTGATAATGTTTATATATGCGACATGAGTCATTATTGTTTCTTTATATAAAGTTTATTATTCTATAAGAAACAAATAAACAGTTTTGAATATATAAGTTTGGTGCAGAAAAGGTGACAGAATAATAAAGTTTCTTTGAACGTTATTAACAACTTTATGACAGGAAAATTTTTGCTTTTGTGAAGACGTATGAATATTGAATTGTTGAAGGTACATATGAAAAGTGGAAAGTTAAAATGGATTGAGAAATTGGAATGGGAAGAGAATTGTTAAGTTCATTGATGGTATGGGCCAGTTATCGTTGAAGTTGAAAGCATGCATGAACCTGGGCACGTACTTGAACACTTGTCTTTTTCATGTGGGCCCTTTTGAGTATTTTAATTTTCCCATATTCCAACACCATTCCAATTGCTCAACTTGTTTTCTATTTTACTATTATAGTGTTATTATTGTAGTATTATTTTATGCGTGTACGTATATTTTGGAGATTTTTTTTAACTTTAGCTTCTATTTTGGTTCATGGGACGGGTATTATATTAATGGGGGAAAAACTATGGTCACACTTATTTTAATAAACCCATTTCATGATGATGCATCTTGAAGATATTACATGTTCGAATAAAAAAACAAAAAAAATAGTTTCTTTTATTTTTAATTTGTATATCATTAATCGTAATTCAATGCAATATAATATTTTTATGAGAATTTAAAAAAAACTTGTTAGATGTGAACGTATATGTACAATCTCATTTGCTTGTCTATAGAGAAATTTTACGATAAAATTGTTTCGGATCAGAATCAAAATTATGTTTAAGTTAGAAAGTGGACTTCAAATGGTGTGTTGTAAGTCTTCGGTGCGGTGGATCACGAGGTGTGGATTTGTAAGGTTAACACTTTATTATCTAAGTCAGTGATATGAATTTAAAAAGGGGTAGAGTGAAATGTCGAAAGTATATTCTTACCAAGGGTCTCACGCATGTAAGAATATTTACCTATGAATTGAGTGAGTTGTTGGACCTCCTTTGGGGCTAATGGGTTTCTCTTTATTGGACTTTGACCTATCATAATAGTTTCTCCCAAGACTTGCTGTGAAATGTTGAAGGAGATGTCTTTTAAAAGTTTCTCTAACCTGGGCTTACCAAAACACCCGTGAGTGAGACTTGACAAGTCCGATCAATGAGAGTGGTGGACAGGCACATTAAAGTGCACAAATCTCTACCCGTATCGCTTTGTACTATTCAACGTGCGTGTCTTCCTATTTTACAGATTAGGGCATTCGTGTGCACTTAAGTGCCGTTTATGTTCATGGCACACCTTATCGCTTGGTTGCTCTGGTAGCTGACATGAAGACATCTTTTGAGGAGAAAAGAAATGTTCTTAGTGAGGTGGAATCCTCTTCAGCATTCATTTTTCTCCCAATTTTCAAAGGCCCGAGAGGCCTTGAAAGAGGAGACTGACACTCGTTCCGCAGAGTTAAAGGCCTACCATGATGCTTTGTCTTAATTGGAGGAGGATCTTATGGTCGTGGCTAATAAAATTCTTAGAGATGTTTCTTTTAAGAACAAAGTGGACCAAATAGAGGTTTCTATTTGGACTTTAAGATTTCCCGCTCAGATCACATGGTAGTTGATGGGGTCATGGTGAGGCAAGGGTAATTTTTGTTTATTGTAGACATCATTTTAACTTCATGCCTTCGTGGAATTATTAATTTTAGAATTTATTCTGATCTTGTTCGGATGTTACATTTTCATTCTTTCCACTAATTGTGATCATTTAGAAAATTTATATCTGCTTCGTCATTATCTATCCCATTTTTTAAGAATTGGTGTGGTTTCTTTGTTTTGCCGTTACCCGTTTCATTCGTTGGAAACTAGCGTAATTTTTTTTGTTTCATCATGACTTGTCCCATTTGTTGCGAACTGGAGTAATTTATTTGTTTCATCATTACCCATCCCATTTGTTGAGAACTAGCATAATTTCTTAGTTTTGTCATTACCCGTCTCATTTGTTAGGAACATGCATAATTTCTTCGCTCCACGAGGACCATTCCCGTCCAAGAGTTGAATCCCCTTCCCTGACACCAGGTTTGAGCATGGTTTGAGGTTGGCGTCTCCTAGGCTACATCGCATTTGCTCATGGAATGGCCAAATCCTAAGGGGGTGCACTAGCTGCGACATAAAGCATTTGGTTTCTCATATTTCCTGTGTTAAAAAGGAATTCCATATAACTTCATTATAAAAGACGACCTATTATTTATATAAGTTGATTGTTACACAAGTCATAACCAAGTTGTTTACCTTTAACTTTGTATAGAAAATATTTCAACTAAAATACTGTTTAAGTTTAGTGGCGCTCCAAGTCCATAGGGTCGGTTCTGTCATCAATGTTTCTAAGGTATATGCTCCTTTTTTCGATGTTGGCCTAGATTTTGTATGGTCCTTCCCGATTGGCTGGGAGTTTTTCGTCTCTAGCCAACAACTGTTTCAACTTATCCAACACCCAACAAATGTTCTCTGTCTGCTCAGATTCCATATAGGAAAATGCATCACCAAAGATCAGCTCGGTTGACGTCTTGCAAACTATTTCAAACATATGATGTGTTGTGAATCAGATGTCTTGAAACAAAATATAAACGGCTTTTTTATGATCAAGAAACACACAAGGGTTAGGGATAACAAAGATAACAAGGTAAAACAACAAGGAACAACAAGGATTGGTTATAAACTGCTATTCTTTCCTTACTCTTAGGACAAGATTACAAGTATACAAGAATAATAAAATAACTTCTCTCTCTTGAAATTAGGATTTTATCTTCCTATTTTTCCTTATACCAAGATTGAAAAACTAGCATCCTATTTATAAGAAAAATAACACAATAACCTAATGGGCTTTTTAACAATCACCCATTACAAGCTAACTTAGGGTACAATCTAATTTAAACAATTGGACAAACAAGAAAGACTCAATTCAACATGCTAACAACCCTAGCAATATTGACTAATGCATGTTAGAACAAACTGTGAGGGCAAACCGTCATACAACATACGATCTTGAGTTTCGATGATGACAAATTGCAACCATGGATGAATCAGCATTATCGGTTCTGCCTCTACAAAGACAAATACAAATGTTCCATCCATCATATCCTTCCTATATCATTTAAAATGTTTTACTCAATACAATATATGTGAATGATATGTGGTTATGACTAAATGCATAAAAACCACATAAATAACATTTTTTTGTAGAATTTCAGGCCATGAGTCGACCACTGAGTCAGCGCATGGATTTGTGCTTTTCTCACGGGTCAGCGCATGAAGGCTATGAGTCGATGCAAGGTCGACGCATAAAGCTTTTGTTTTCTAACAGGTCAGCGCACGTCGACCTATGGTCGACGCGCACTGCTGCCCTTTCAAATCTGTCCCAATCTACAGGCTATGCGTCGACGCATAGACCTGCTATGGTCGACCGTTCACGCGTTTGTGCTATTTTTTGAAGACTTCCCACTATGTTTGAAAAGCTGTTAAATTTGGTGATTGGTTGGTTACTATATATAGAGACTTTGTTCATTTTTATCAACAATAATTGTGAATTTGAGTCAATTGTCACACAACAAGAAAAGTGAAAGAGGTGCCATCAAAATTCATCAATCTACATCTTTTACAACCTACAACACAACAATTACACACAACAATTATTGGGGTGCTTGTGATCTTGTTCAAGGTGATAAGGTCCGAAGCCGTGATCGGAAATCCGGTTCGGGTTGATTTTGAAGGCAGGTTTTTCTTGGAGAAAAGTGTGGAATGTTATTATCAATGGTCCAATGGAAATAACCATGACCAATGAAAATAATGAGATTGTGCCTAAGCCCGAAGCACAATGGACAGATGATGATGAAAAGAAATACAACTATGATTGGAAAGCCAAGAATATTTTGATCTCCTCGTTAGGAGTTGATGAATATTATCGGGTTTCTCATTGTCTTAAGACAAAAGCTATGTGGGTTTCACTTCAAGTCGCCCATGAGAGGACAAATGATGTGAAGCTTGCTAGAATCAACACACTAACACAAGAGTTTGATCTCTTTTACATGGAGCAAGGGGAAACCATTACGGACATGCAAAAGAGATTTACTCATCTTATCAATAGATTGTATTCACTTGGTAGGCCAGTGGCCAATGATGTTGCTACTAACAAAATTTTGAGATGTCTTAATAGGGAATGGCAGCCGAAAGTGACCGCCATCAAAGAAGAAAATGACCTCACAATTTTGGACTTAACAACATTATTCGGAAAGCTACAAGAGCACGAACAAGTGCTCCTAAGCCTCGACCAACATGAAAAGAAAGAAAAGAAGGAAAAAACAAAGACTGTTGAGAAGAAATCTATTTCTCTCAAGACTTCCTCCTCGAAGTCTCAATCTAAGGAGCACAATGATTATTCATCAAATGACGATGAAGAAGATGACAAGGGTGAGGATATGGGGCTGTTCGTAAAGCGCTACAATCGGTATGTGAGAAAGAACGACATTCAACACTCAGAAAAGAACCTTGTCAACTTCCGAAAGCAATCAAGGATCTCTCGAAATAATGACACCAAAGGAAGTAAAACCAGAGGATCGTGCTACAAATGCGGAAAGCCCAGTCATTACAAACCGGATTGTCCTTTAAACAAAAAGCGCAAAAAAAAGGAAT